TGGGACGGAGGGAGTATGTCTTACATAATAATATAATACTTAATACGGAGTACTTAATATTTAAAAGAAGAAACATCTAAAATAGTTTATCACTACTTAAACAAATAAACAATAGAACAACTCATTGTTTAAGACTTAGGATACTTATTGTATAAAATATCCTTGTTTTGTAATGTTTAATTATCTTTATTAGATAATTAGTACTCGATTTTATAAAATGTCAAATGATATTAAATATCATATTTCTAAATACCACACTAGTTAAACAATTTTTAGATCAAGTGAAGTGAATCCAAAATATAAATGTTTGTTAACATTAAATTACATGATTCATTTACTTCTTACTTTTTAAAAATAGTTTATTGTACAAATAATAAACTTTAACTTATTTTAGCATTAATACGAATATGATATACCCCATCTATATGAATTAGCAGGGGCGGAGTGAGAGCACTCGGTCGGACTAGACCGGTACAAAGAATATTTTTGGGGAAAAAATTACACGAAATTTTTTACACAAAATGTATAGACATTGGGCTGGGTCAGGGCCAAGGCTGGATCAGGGCCAGGGCTGGCCCTCCCCTAACTACGCCCCCTATGAATTAGCATTATGACTAATGTAAAGCCCGGGCCATGCCCCGGCAGCACATCTAATTGATAAGGGTTAAAATGAAAAATACTATACATACTGTGAATTATATTAGTTATAAAATTCAAATTTGAATATAATGGGTATTTATAATAAACTATTCACAACCAATTATAAACTCGTATTTGTTAAGTGATTATTAAATTATCCATCTATCATATATTATATATTTAGAGCGAGCCCTTTTAGAAACCTCTATTTTCAGCTTATCAATCAATTGTTTTACTAAACCTAGTTTTTGACTTCATGCGCTAAACTACGTAATAATCATAATGAGGAATGTTGAAGTTGCTTTTTTTCTAAATTAGCTGAAGTTACTGCAGAGGATAATTTTAGATATTCTTTTCGTTTTATTTTTCATAATTTGATTAATACAATATATTTTAAATGTAAATTTTCCATTATTTAACAGATTTAATCAATTCAGCTATTTCACCTAAAATTTCATACGGTGTGGATTAATTTTACGTTCGAACGAAATAAGAAAAAAATAGATTGTTGTTGCAACTTTGATGCGGTTTGATGTGACCCGATGTTGCCTCATTGTGACCATGTTGCGGTTTTGTTAAATGTGAATTTTCCCCATGGATCGAAATATATATCACTGCCATTGCGCCCGATGCGGTTGCGCTACGGATCGCACCCACAATATTGTGACCATAACTCGTGTTTCGGTTCACAATTTAAAATCATTGTCCATATTTGTCTTTGACCGGGTTAGTTTTGTTACTCCTCCATCCGATTTTGTAAAACACGTTTTACTTTTTGTCTGCCAAAGTATATGATTTTATTCTGAATTAACATCGTCTTTTTATTTCTCACTTTGTTTACTATCTTTCATTTCATTAATCACTTCATTTTGAATGCATACTACACTTTTTTACTTTTTACGTGTTAAAAATGTAAAACAACTACTTTATCCGTATTTTCAACATGCGACAAATTAAAATGTATCTTACAATGAGAGGGAAGGGGTATATATGTACTCTAGGAATGTTGGCATATGTTTTATATTGTAAAACTGTGTTATGAAAAACTTATTTGACATTTTATAACTCAAGTATATGAAACAATAGAAAAGATTGACTAACAATATAAGTAGCCATAAATTGTATTGTGATAATAGGTGATTTATCTCTTACGCATTAACTCGCCATGAAGAGTGAAATCATTTAGGATGTTTTAATTGGGATGAAATTTTCTGGTTTGTTCTTGTGTGTTTAATGTTGGAATGGTCTTGCTTGGTCTTAACTAATCTGATATAGTCTGACAAATGTCTGACATTTGTGTATTTTGTGACTATCGAAATCTGATATTTTATAATATGTTTAAAATTGGTCTGCTCTATTTAAATAAGTATTGTAGAGTCCTATTTGGCCGGTACATGCTAATTTATTTATAAGCTACAGAGTTTTTTGGTAAGATTTATTAGCTAGGGAGTACTAATTGGCCATGAAGAGTCCTATTGAATTGAATTAGCTGGTACATGCTAACTTAGCTATTAATTAGCCATGAAAAGTGGAGGTAGTTAATGATTAGCTTTTTGTTAGCCCCGTAATATTGAGTTGAATTAAAAGTGATTTTATTTATTCATTTGTTAGCCAATGAGAGATCGACAAATAAGCTATTCATAACTCACCTTTACTATATAAAACAATAGATATTCGTCCAAAAATAAATAATCTCATACATATATGCTATTGTTATATTAAGAAACTCCTCGTGACTCACGGACACCCTCATTGGTAGACAAATAATATTCATGTGGTTGAATAAGGCAGAAATTATTTAAAAAGTATTGGTGAATATGTATCTTTTTAAATCTTTATCTGCAAATAATTTGATAAAATGTTATATATCCCTTTTTATTTTCAATTATAAAATCAAAGTTATTTTTTCAATTATAAAATCAAAGTTATTTGATAAAATGTTATATATCCCTTTTTATTTTCAATTAAAAAGTAATATATGTCTTACATAATATAATACTTAATACGGAGTACTTAATATTTAAAAGGAGAAATATCTAAAATAGTTTATCACTACTTAAACAAATAAACAATAGAACAACTCATTGTTTAAGACTTAGGATACTTATTGTATAAATATCCTTGTTTTATAATGTTTAATTATCTTTATAAGGTAATTAGTACTCGATTTTATAAAATGTCAATCGATATTAAATATCATATTTTTAAATACCACACTAGTTAAACGATTTTTAGATCAAGTGAAGTGAATCCAAAATATAAATATTTGTTGACATTAAATTACATGATTCATTTACTTCTTACTTTTTAAAAATAGTTTATTGTACAAATAATAAACTTTAACTTATTTTAGCATTAATACGAATATGATATACACCATCTATATGAATTAGCAGGGGCGGAGTGAGAGCACTCGGCCAGACTAGATCGGTACAAAAAATATTTTTGGGAAAAAAATTACACAGAATATTTTATACAAAAAGTATAGACATTGGGCTGGGCCAGGGCTAGGCCAGGGCCAGGGTCAGGGCTGGCCCTCCCGGCCCTAACTACACCCCTATGAATTAGCATTATGATATTCGTCCAAAAATAAATAATCTCATACCTATGCTATTGTTATACGGAGTATTAAGAAACTCCTCGTGACTCACGGACACCCTCATTGGAAGACAAAAAATGCAATTCAAAAACCAATTCTTTATTCAAATAATATTCCTGTGGTTGAATAAGGCAGAAAGTATTTAAAAAGTATTGATGAAAATGTATCTTTTTAAATCTTTATCTGCAAATAATTTGATAAAATGTTATATATCCCTTTTTATTTTCAATTATAAAATCAAAGTTATTTTTCCATTGTCTAAATTTATAATGTGAATTGTAATAAATCCAAATGTCATTGTGTATGTATTAATTGTATTTTTTTAATAAAAAATAACTGGAGAGCTCAACACTAGTGGGAAAAAATCTTAATTAACGGAAAAAATCTTGCCCCTTCATTCTAAATCCTAGATTGGTTATTTCCATAAGTTGATGCACCATTGGCACTCAACTGGTAACGGCTCCATCTCTATCGATAAAATAAAATGTAAAACATCATATCAAATTGGGAAAAGGGGCAAATAAGACCACGTACTAACCAAAAAAAGGTCAAATAAGGCCTTATTTATGAGACTTTGTCCGGTCTTCGCCATTTGGGGTGGTTTTTGGTGGAATTTTTTGATGAATTTTTTTTTATCATCTTATTCATTAAATCTAGTTTACTCATACCAAATTTCAGAAATTCATTTGAATGGCTTACCGATTGAAGTTTTAGCTTAAATTTGGTATGAGTAAACAAGACTTACTGAATAACATGCTCAAAAAATTTTATCACAAAATTCCACCAAGAACTAATCCAAATGGCGAAGGCCGGATAGAGCCTCATAAATAAGGCCTTATTTGACCTTTTTTTGTTAGTACGTGACCATATTTGCCCCTTTTCCCTATCAAATTCTTTACCCCGCATCGTATGACTAAACTGCTAAGACTGTACGAAGTACTCCGTATATCGTATTTAACCATGGCCTCAAAATTGCTTCACTCTACCAAGGTTTACGATGTATATGTTCACACAAACAATTGGTCGTTCTGAGTTCTGACTTGGGAATTATCGGTGACCACATATAAGAGTTGTATATGTGCACATAGACATTAATTTGGTGTCAAAGTGTTGATAACCGTATGACAACCACACATACCAATAAATGTGTAAAAGTTAAGTAAAAAATTTATCACAACAATAGATATGTTGCTCACAGACAATAATTATTTCTGTCATCAAGTTTTTTGTATTTGGATAGATTTTATCACATCGAAATAATTGTGCTACTCACAGACTAATTTTCGTAGTGATCAATTTTACTATTTTTGTCCACCTAACATTGAGACAAAAAGAGTGGTACGATTCTTCAAAATAAAAATGTGTAATTGATATTAAAATAATAGTGTAAATAAAATAAAATGAATTATAAGTATCAAATTTTTATCAAATGTAGCAGGAGACAAATTTAGTAAAGTGACTAAAAAGGTAAAATAAAACAAAGATAGGAGACGGGGAGTGATTATCCACTCATTTGTAAAATCAATCAATTTTTAATTATTTGTGTGATCAGTTTTAATTGTCTGTGTGAGAAATATATAATTGCGTGAAGGTGCCCAAATCAAAAGATAATAAGATTGATTTTGGGTAAGTAATGAAAAACTGTAAACAAAAAGGTAGAGAAGAACGAGATCTAATCTTAGAGAAAAATGAAAAACTGGAAGAGGTGAGAGGAGTAAATGAGAAGCACATTTATTTTATACCACATTCGCCAGTGCTATACCAAATTTCTCAAAAACGACTTTTGCTCATAAAGTCTTTATTGGAATAATATGAAATAAAGAGACAAATTGAACAATTTCTGTATGTTGGGGCTCTACATGAATCATTCAGATGGAACTTGGTAGAGCTCTGTCAAGGTTTGTATACATATCATTACCATATAAAAGATTAACCCCTAAATATAAATTCTTCATGGAGACAAACTCGGGGTGTTCCCATTCCAGCAAGATAATTGATTGATCAGGACTTTGAGCACGGTTAAAGATAGTATAATTACGCTGCACAATACTGATGAGAAAATCTTTTTTCAGTGAGAAGCTCATCCATATCGCGGACAATCTTAAACACAGCTTCAGGCTTAGCCAGCCTAAGGCAGTTGCGAGACATTGCTTCCAGTTCATCTCTTCTCGGTCCAAACCACTGACAAACAATGTTCGCTATCTCTTTTGGAACCTTAGAAAATTTCCCGCAACCATTGTTCACCACATATGGCACGTTCCCCGCTTCCTGCACAAAAATGTGGTAACTATGATCTGCAATTTCACAAACTCCTAAGGGTTTATGAACGGATTGTTAGTGCGACGAAACCGAAATTAAATAATTTCAAAGTTTTGAATTTTATTTTTCCAAATGTTAAAATATTGCATTTCGGCCTCATCTCGCCATAGGGGCGGGCACCTCATTGAGGTGTCCCATAAAGACTATCACATCCAACAAATTCAATTTTTTTTCCCCAACAAATTCAATATTTACAAATGCATTATCACAATTGCATATACTATGAACTCCCTTAAACAAAACAGCTACGTTTGAAATTGAGATATAGGTACTCTACATCTCTCAACTGCTTTTTGTGGATGGAAAGAGATTATAAAAGAAAATAATACTCAACCCAACCAAATTTTTGCTACACATTTATTGTTTTGGTCTCCAATTTGACTACGTTTCGAATATTAATTATATAGATTATGCACTAAGTAGTTGGGAAAGTTGGAGAGTATTAATAAAAACTCTAAATTTAGCTGGGAAAGTTGGAGAGTTGAGCAATCACCTGGCCAGCAATGTAGTCATTTAAAACTATAGGGAGCCCACGAATCATAGCTTCTGCAATAGTTCCAGGACCAGCCTGTAAACCAATAACCTTTCAGAATGATAAAGTTTGGCCAAATCTTTGTGCCCAGAACTGATTATGACAAAGACATTACCTTAGATATAATGCAATCACAAGCTCCCATGCACTCTTCCATTTTTGTAACAAATCCCTTTACCTAGACAACATAGATTAAAATTGAACGTTTAAACTGGACATTTATTAATACCTTCATATACTGAAGGTAAAATACGAATAAGGCAAATCTAACTTGTCATGGTTTGGAACTAGCTGCTTAAAAGATCTATTCAAATAAAGGTTTCATAACGAAACAACAAATCGTTGAACTAGTCAACCGCTAGTTCCAATGTTCAAGATTCAATGGTCTTGATGGCGGTTCATCGGTGGTGCACCACAGATGAGTACATATATTTTTAGAAAAAAATTGGAAAGCTGGTATTAATAATTCCAACTATTGCCCTTTGGCTCTAATTAATATGTACTATCAATTAACATGTCTCTTCTCTCTTATTTTATTGTATTGTTTTTCTTTTTATTTCTTGTCTTTTTTTAATCGGAAAAATTGAAAATAATAATCCAAACTATTGTCGGTCCGCTATTCATAATCCCAACTATCGATTATTCTTCGGTGATCCCAACTATAGGAACCATTTTCCAAAAATGGTCCCTAACCTGTTACAACCTGGTATAGCAGACCATTTTTAAATGTGAACTATGTGTAAGCTTTAAATAATCCCAACTATAGTTGACCTTTTTTTATTAATCCCAACTATCAACTCTCAATTTTTTGAAGATGTAAAATAATTTTAAAAATTGCAAACTAAATTTTTTTAAGAATGAAATATTAATTACGAATATTCTACAAATGTACCAAAATTAGATAAAAAAATTAGTCATTTTTTATTTATTTTCACTAAAAATTCATTGTCCTTTTTCCAATTTGTTTGTCACAATTATGTTACCAATTTATGATTTAGTATTATTTTCTTTTATTTAAATTTACATTTTCTATTTTCAAAAGGTCAATTGTGATTATTTTTGTTTACAATTTAGATCTTTATTTTAGCTTAATCTTAAAATCTAAAATTTTATTTATTCCATTTTAGTGTTTGTAATTTCTACCAATGTAAAAAAGCGAATAGCTTGAAATGACGATAAAAAAATGTTTACCAAAAGTCCACACTTCTTCTACCTACCAAACTAGTTGGGATTAGTATTACCATTTTGATACACTTTCACTACATGTTTACAATTTCCATTATATCACTTAATATTATAATATTAATACATTATCATAAAATATAGTCAAAACCTCCAAAACATATACCCCAAATCACTTTAACTAAATAATAAACTATATAATATAATTTATAGAATGTAATAGTATAAAATAAAGGAAATAGAAAGAAACTAGAAATACTAAAACGGAAAAATAGAACATTTAGGTTTTTAGAATTAAAATAGCATAAAATAAATAAATAAATTTTAATCATTATTTACTTTTTGAAACCAGTGTAATTTTGAATAAAGGAAAATAATACAAAATCATAAATTGGTAACACAACTGGGAAAAAACTAGAAAAAAGGAAAAGCAATTAGTGGAAATAAATCAAAAAATGCCTAAAATTATTTTATTTAACATCGGTACATTTGTATAATTTTTGTAATTGTTTATACATGTTTAAAAAATTAGTTTGGAAATTTATAAAAATATTTTTACATAGTTCACATTTAAAAACGACCTGCAACATCAGGTTGTAACAGGTTAGGGACCATTTTTGGAAAATGGTCCCTATTGTTGGGACCACCCAGGAATAATCGATAGTTGTGATTATTAACGGCGCACCGGTAATAGTTGGGATTATTATTTTCGATTTTTCCTTTTTAATCTTCTCTGAGAAAGCCCTTGTGCCAATGTTACAAGAACCGGACCGGTGAGCGACCCGTACAAATGATTGGGTCACGGGCCAGCGCAATCCTGGTGGGTCAACCTAGTCAACATTTATAAATTATTATATTTAATATAAATATAATAATATATAAAATTAAAATAAAAGGTAATCATTAGAAATACTACTACCACAGTCCCGCTATGATCGTCCCATTTAACCTTATCGGTCTGTGCCACTAAGATTATCACATACCAAATTTGGTAAAGTTTGTGCGGCTAGAAATCATTTTTACTTTATTCTTACTTTATCAATTTAATATCAACCACATAAACCACTTTTTATTGATTTGCGTGACAGTCCCTCTTGTCCCATTGTTAGCGGGACGGAGAGAGTAGTAAGCAATGAAAACACACTCATAATATCCTAAAGTACAGTTAGTCCTACTTATAGACATGGTTTGATTTGATTTTATATACATTTATAAAATAAGTTTGACATGGTTGCCTCTTTAGAATAATTATTAAGAATATCACAAACGAAAAATATCACACTTTTTCAAAAATGTGAAACTAAATAGACATATTACAAAATCTTAAAAGCATCAAAGACAATACAAACAATAATGAAATTGTTTGTAATCATCATTATATTAATACACATATAAGAATGATCCTATTAATAATTATAATCATATATTAAGGATTTTACGATCTTGTATTTGTTGCAGCCTAGTTGACAAATGCTTTTAATACTCTATATAATAATTATCTCATCTTGTATTTGTTGCAGCCTAGTTGACAAATGCTTTTAATACTCTATATAATAATTATAATCATACTCCGTATAATTTATCCGGTCAAACTGGGGTTTAACTTTATCCTACACCGGAAAGAGATGAGGCACTCCTCCTTCCAACACTATATATCGTGGACATCCCCTGGCGCCTTGGTGACCCTAGGCGGTGCCTTACAGCCTTTTTGGGCCTTTTAGAACATTGGGTATAACCACTGGCCCTTGCAGTCCAACGGATTTCTTAGTGTTCTTTATGCCCAAGCGGTGGGAGTTTGACTCCTTGCTGCCCCAAAATTTAATTTTTTGCCGGGTTTTTCATATTTTTCAGGGTTTTCTAGATTTGGCCGGTTCCGGGTCCTTTTGTTGGTCCCAATGGGTTACTGGGTAATAGCGGGTTTTAGTGTATTTCTGGGTTGGCAGTCAACCGGACCGGTCTAGGTGCCGGGTCGCCAAGTTCCCAGTTGACCCGCCCGGTCCGGTCCGGTTGCTGTAAGGCTGTGCCTCTCTTTTATTTATTCTATTATTTAAATTTTTTCCTTTTCTTCTCTCACTATATCATTGTCTTCTTCAGCGCTTCTACTGCATATAGTGTTGCCTCTCTCCCCAATTTGTCTGTAAGGTTTTATAAATGTCTTGAAAACATGAGGTTGACAGGTTGTTAATCAAAATGTTTGCATTTTTATGAAAATAAAGAAAAACAGCAGGAAGAGCGTAAACACACCTTGACTGGAATTTTCCAGTCAATGGAGACCAATTTGTCCGCAAGCTTCTTATTACGCCCACATACTATGAGGACCTGACCTGTTGGTTCCCCAAGCTTATCATCATATAGCGCATCTCCAAGTGCACGAGCAGTAGCTTCAATTGGACCCATTCCTTCACCACCACCTATTAGAAGTACTGCAGGAAGCTCTACATCCAAACCAAGCTCATCCCTTAGTTCAGCCTGGACAGATTTCAATGAAAACATATTCTTAAAAATACACTGCAAAGGGTTTGACACATGGACGCATTGTAGTACATAAGAGATGTGAATGCAAACCTTTTAAGTAATCATAAATAATACGGAGTATAGCTCAACAAACTCTAATGAATCTATAAAAAATGTGAATAAAATAATACTCTCTAGTAACAATTACAACCTCGGCCCTATAAAGTTCATGTTTTGACTTCTACGGCCTTCAATGTTCATCTTTGAACATAAGTACATAGTGTGTCCATAATGAATTGTCAGTTAAATACTACGTAACAAGTATCAACTAAAATGTCTTGTTCACAAGTATTTTTATTTTATAATTTAAGATACTTTAATCACAATAAACCGTCACAGTTAATAGATATGACTTCAAAAATCATAACACAAACAATTTAAGAGTGAGGATAAAAATTATATATCTTGTACTGTTAAACTTTCATACAGATTGAAATACACAATTGACTTGGATTACTTAAAAAACGTAACATCTTGCAAAAAATGTGTCGAAAAGGATAATGTCTTGAACAGCATTGGGCCATAGAGGTATAACAAAATATAGACACACTAGATGATCAAGGGTTTTAATTTGAGATAAGAGATGATTCCAAAAAGGTTTTACAAAGTATTTGAAACGCACAATTAAGTTTTACTACTTCAAGAAATAAAACATCAGTGAAAAACACTAAAAGGCAATAGATAATGTATTTAACATCACCTTAGGCCGAACAGGTTTGAGAAAGGATGGTCGCACTGGAAGGCCAAAGATTTTAATTTGAGAAAATCGAAGACCTGCTTTAATAGCTCGGTGTGCTACCTCATCAGAAGGTGCATAGCACCTTGTTACAAGCTTGTGAAACCTACAAAAGAAACAAAAAATATATGAAACATCTGTTTGACAACCAGTGACAGTAAATCAACCATTATTTATCTTACCATGTTGGATGGCAAGTGCATAAATCCGTCACAACTGTAGTAAACACAATCTTGTTCAAGAGACCTTTCGACCTCAAAACACGAAGCGGCACATGTTGCATAAGAGGATGCACACTTACGATAATATCAGGTTTGTATTTCATAAGACCTTTAGCAATTTCCCTGCAGAAAATTCAGAATAAAGGACTTCAAGAATCAAGAACTAATTGCTCTACAAAAAATAATTCAAAAATGATAAAGAGTACAGAACTGTTGTCATATTTCATTACATTACGAAGTTACGAACCATAGCTCATGATCTCAAAACTAGTCAATATCAAAACATAGCCAAGTTAACAAGAACTACATGGGTGTATTTGGTTCAGGGATTTCAGATGCAGGAAGGGACGGGTGATATATATTTTTTAAAATAGATTCTAAAATTTAGATATTGGAAGTTGAGTGAAGATTAAAAAACCAATACATCTTCATTACATTTTAAACCATAGATCATGATCTAGAAACTATTCAATATAAAAATAATATAAAAAATAGCCAAGTGTATCTAGAGCTACAAAGGGGGATTTATTGAGGGTGATATTTATATTTTATATTGTTTCTATATTCAGATGATTGAAAATAAATCGTGGATTAAAAACTATGTATAGAAACAAATATAACTACTCATATAGTTATTTCTAGTCTAAGATGGTGTTTGGGTCTGATTCTTAAAACTGTTTATGCTCCTTCAGGGAGCAGAAGGAGAAGTTGGAGTGTTTGGGTGAAAGTGCAGAAGTATTTTTAGTGCTCTAATTTACTCTTAGAAGCAGTTTTTTAGAAGTTGGAGGAGACCACCTTATGAAAACGATTCTGATTCTATTTCTGCTTTAGAAAAGAAGCAGAATAAGTTCAAAACACTCCCTAAAAGTAACAAATACAGATAAAGTACTACGTAAAATACAATTTATTCCCTCCTTCCCCATCACTTTGAAATCCCCAAACCAAACAAGCCCTAAATAATCAAGAATGTGATAACAGAAGCCGATCTTTAACAAAGTACATATCTTGACTACAAAAGACAATTCTAGACCTTATCTTAAATCTTTTCAAACAAAGAAACCAGCATTGTAAAATTGTAACAGAATAGTCCAGTCTAGCATAGAATAATGGTTGTCAAACTTAACAGAAATATACTGAGAAAGTCCAAGTTTTACCTTGCAATTAAAGCTGAAGTTGCAGCGAAATTGGGTTGGTGAATAAAACGAGGACTAGAAGCATAATAAGTCATTTTCCACAAAGAAGAGTGTTTAACCAAGAAACTATAACTTTTGGGCAATTGGTTAAATGGCCATGGAGTATGTTCTGTCCACAGATCACATACAATTACCTGGAAGAAATATTAGTTGTGAGCATATGTGGAATCAACAACAAAATCTTGATTAATCACATGAAGGAATCCATAGAAACGAAACCTGATACTTTTCACCAAACTCTTGATTAAAGGCCGCCTTAATGGCCTCCGCTGAGGCACGGTGGCCCCCTCCCGTATCACTCATTAAAATCAGCACCTTCTTAGGACCATCGTCTTGAACCCCACTGGTTGAGATCCCTTCATTCTCCAACACTCCATTCCCATCCCCGGCTAACCCATTACACTCAACAGAGCATTCCTGGATTGAAGCAAACCCAAGTGGGATTTGCTCACAATGGAGCCTAACAGCTCTGTTAAACAGATTTAACGCCTTGCCAAGCCTAGCAGAAGCACTTCCCTTTGTACTCGAACACAATACCCGGTGTTTATGCTTGCTGGTGTAGCTTTGTCTCCGCAAATCACTAAAGTACAAGTGGTTGGACAAAACATTACAAGACGTGAGATTTCGGCTGATGGACTTTTGTGAGTAATCAAACAGAAAGGAGCCGAGATTGGACACATAGCCCGCCGGTTTAGTGGGTTCTTGAGACAACGATGAAAGCCGCATTCTTTCTTCTATTACACAATAAAGATCGGTAGTTAAAATTAGTACAAGTAACCAAGTTGTATGAGTAATGCTAAGAAGAAGAATTCATACTTCAATTGAGGAAACATTGAACCCCACCTGTTTTTAAAATTGTCTGTGAGACTCGGAGGGATGAGAGTGGCTCAAAGAGTGGGGAAATGGATCGTCGGAGAATGACTCGTGCACACCCAGGTGTTATTTAAAGAAATAATTCCCCCATCCCTTCGAATTTCCCTTGTGATAAAACTACAGGTACCAAAAGAAAAGACCAAGAGTTGGCCGGTAATGCCGCTGCCTCGAACCATTCTTAAACCCTATGAAATTTACAGTAAGCAGGAAGATAAAGCGGCTCATGAGAATATTGACCTGATAATAGTTCTTCAATCTTCACACGGTTATGCGGCGCGGCAGAGCGTGAAGGACGGGGATCGGAATCAGGGAGTTTGACCGTCCAGGTTTGTGATTTTTGGTCAAATGTGGACCGAGTTTGACCAAACTGATTAATATAATCGAGTAAAATGCATTAATGCTCCTTGAACTATCATTATCATATCGTTTTGATTCTCAAACTATTAAATCTATCATTTTAGTCTTTAATCTATTTCATCTATATTAATCGAGTACTTCTGTTAAATTTGCAGTTAACTTTGACGGAAGCTAATAAATTTATTAACATCTCATGATTTTAAACATTTTGAAACAATACAATCATTCTTAAAATTTAAGTAGCTAATTTAGTTTTTTTAAAATATAGATATGTACACATACACATGATAGAGTATATATCTAGAGAGAAGTGAGAGCTAGAGAGAGAAGTGCAAGTAAATGCTTCAATAAATGATTTTCCAACCCCTACAACTACCTCCAGAGGAAGTATTTATAGGGAAAATACGGGCTGGGCTCCCGAGCCTTGGGCTTGGGAGGCCCATTTACAACTGGACCGCTATTGGGCCGAATACAATGTGTGTAGAAATGATTAAGTGTAAAATCTAATTCTGTGAGGCTTCCGTGGCCGACGAGGGCACGGCCGATGAGGGCACGGCCGACGAGGGCACGGCTGACGGGGGCACCCAAGTTCCCTGGCTTCAGGATCATATTCTGAGTTGGTCCTTCTTCGGCCGACGGGGGTCCTTTGGCCGAAGAGGGCACCACTTGATGGCTTATACTTTCTGTTCTTCTGAGTATGTGGGTCCTGGGGCCTAGACCCATATACTCCATCAGGAGTCCCCCACTCTCTAAGCTGAGATGTAGACGAAGTGAAGGAGAGTAGATTTCTGCGCTTGGTGCTCTTGGCCGACGCGGGACCACACCGGCCGCTCTCTGTCGTAATGTTGGTGGCCCTGTTCTGAGTTTGGCCGTTACCTGCCCCTTGATATGGACGGGGAAGGCTGTCATTCCTTTGGTGCGCTTGTTTGTGGACGATGAGTGTTCTGGACTTCTTGGCCGAGGAAGGTAGTGTCTATCCTTCCTTGATCGTTGATAGTTGAACTTTCCTTTTGGGCCGATAAGGCCGTTGAGGTTGCGTCTTGCTTTGAGGACGATGGGCGTCCTTTGTTCTGGATGGCCGATAAGGGTGCTATGCACTCCTTTTGGCCGTCGTCGATGACACCATGTGCCTTTGGCCGACGAGGCGCCGTGTTGCCCAAGGTTTTGGGGACGATAGCACTGTCTGGCCGGAGATGGAGTTATAAGGACCTTGGAACCGTTGTGGTACATGGACGATGTGGCCGCGCTTGTAGTTGCAATTGTGTACTTTGTGCATTTTTGTTTCTCATTTTGATTGCCATTCTTGAGGCCGGTGTAGTCCCCCACTCCCCCACTGCTTCAGGCCGAGGAGTCTCTGAGGGATGAAGGAGTAGCTTGAAACCTAGGCCGAAGCGGGATCCTCATACTGCCATTGGATCCAACCCTTTGGCGATTTCCTGACCAAGGTAACCCTGTGGGAGAACACTTGGACGCAGGTCGCTTTCAAAGTATATTGATGGATAGTGTACCCGGGGGGTAGCTTATCCGAGGGGTTATTACGGAGAATAATAAGAGAGAAGTCAGAGCAAGTAAATATAGAGAGAGAAAGTATATTGTAAAGTGTTCAGCGATTTCAGCGTGTTTACAAATGGGGAAATGGGGTGCTATTTATAGTAGCAATAAATGTCGGGCAGGGACACGTGTCAAGCGTCCATTGGCCGAGAGGTCACCTCATCTGGTTGGCGCTGGCAACCGCATGTGGCCGCATTTAATGCGGCTGTTGGATGGGACGTTGTACAGGGTACGGTGATCTGTACGCATGTGGAGCGGATATTGTGTCGGAAGAGGCGCCCTCGGTAGTAGATGACTAGCCGAGGGCTCTGAGTACCGGGGACCCCCTTAGTGCCGAGGGCTTCAGTTGCCGAGGGCTACTGATTTTCACCGTTTTTCCCAGTGACTTTGTTTTCCTGTCCTGGCCCTCTTGTGAGAGTTAGAGCCTTCGGCCAGGGGGCCGAAGGCGCCCCTGGTGCGCGTTGTGGGCTGCTTGGTACTCTGGGCGCTGTGATTTGGGCATGTTGTGCTTTCTGGGCCTGTAGGGCCTTTATTGGAGTAGTAGGAGTCTGTGGGCCGGGGGTTCCCGGGCCATATACTCCATCAGGAGTCCCTCACTCCTTTTGCCGAAAGGTACTTGAGGGAAAAGGAGTAATTGTGTTTGTCCTCTGCCGTTGTTTCGTTTGTAGTTTGTAGAGTTGTGGGTAGTTTGCTGTTTGTTTATTCTGCTAAGGGCAGTCCCTCAGTTACCCACATGTCGGGACTTGAGGGGTCATGTTTGTGATTTTCGTGATTTTTCCCGAGGGGGTCCTCCAGTCCCCCACTCCTTGAGGCACTTGCAAAGTGGTGAAAAGTTGTAGAGTAGTTGCGTTGCTGTTGTGGGCCGAAGGCTGACGCTTTTTGTTTCATTTTGGGGGGATGCCTCGTTAAAAAACCTCATTAGGAAAAACCCTGTGGGAAAAAATCCTAATGAGGGAAAAGAGTGCACCGAATTCCCCCAACGATGAATCGAAAATGCGAAACCTTGGTTCGAAATGGAGAACAATGCAGATGTCGAAGGCTCTCCTTGTTCTGAGGGATCCTGTGTTGATTAGCCGGAGGCTTGTTGTTGATGTCCTGGGAGGTGCCGAAGGAGGGTCCCTCAATCTGGGGATCGAGGGCGAAATGAATGCGGGTAGTATTTGAATTGTTACCGGGGGGTCCCCTGTTTGTTGACTAGTTGGTGATGAGGATATCTGAGGGCTCCCTTTACCTGTGTGCCGTAGACTACCTGTTAATGAGGCGTACTCCCCGGGGGCTACCCGCCCCTCAAAATGCAGAGGGGGATCCCCGAGGGGTGGGCCTGCAATGAAGTCGGGGGCTTCTGAAGGAGTGATCCTGAAGACATTTGTCATGTATTGTGTGGGGCACAAACCGGGAGTGTCTCTGGGTAAGTGTACCCGGAGGCTTTTCTTGATGAAGTGGAGTGAAGTAAAAGGCCCGGGGGCCAGTGTTTCTTGGTTGATGAAGGCGTGATCTGTCGAGTGCAGCCGGGAGCTCCCAAAATATAGCCGTTGGAATTATAGCCGTTGGAATTTGTAACGTCAGGATATAGCCGTTGGGGGGGGGGGGGGGTTGCCACGTGGTGCATGCTCGTTGGCTGCCCGTGGGCGGGCGTCACCGATTGGGTGAAACCTCGGTTGGTAATGATGGCAGTCCAACCGGAGGCCCGGTTTCCAGGCCCAAGCCCGGATCCCAGCGCCTATAAATACCCCATGGCCGGCTTCCTTCCCCTTATGCGAAATCATTGTAGCGAAGCTCTGCCAAAATTTCTAGAGAGAGAAACAGCAGCCCTCGATCAATCCCTGCCTTAAGGTCAGTTCCCCCCTGCTCTTCTCGTTGTAGTTAGATGTGCTTTGTGCCTTTAGGCTAGGAGATAGAACTTTTAGAAAACTCTAGTATTTCCGAGCCCTCGAGCTAGTGCGTAGATGTCTTCTCAAAGCGATTCCCAGGACATATCGAGGGATCCCTCGATGGAAGAGGAGAGCTTCTCAGACGCGGGTCCTCAAGTGAGCAGCCCTCGGCCCAAGAGGATGTCGCGATGGCGATGGAGGTGCAGAAGGAATTGGTGGCCGAAGTTGAAGCCGAGGGCTTCGAGCAGGAGGCGGAGGACGAAGAGCTTGCCCTCGCCGTACAAGTGTCAGAGGAGGAAGAAGAAAAGGAGAGGATGAAGGTGACAATGGCCGTCCTCCCCCCTCAGGGTGCTAGTGAAGCAGGGAGCTCTCGGCCCCTCAACCCGACGCCGATAAGAGTGGCCCCGGGAAAAAACCGGAGAAGAAGAAAACTGTCCCTAAGAAAAAAAGTGTTGCTGCTGATCGGAGGAAGCCCATAGATGTGCCCGAGGGGTACTCTTGGCTAAATACTGCTGCCCTGGAAATAGGGTCGAAAGCTGATAGGGAGGACATGTACGTGACTGAGCTGCACGTGGGGCCTTCGGTTGTGGTGGTGGCGCCGGGTCCTGATGATGTTCTTTCCCGGGCCCCCGAGGGTTGCATTGCTGTGCACATCCTATCGGTGTCAATGGGGCTCCGGTTCCCCCTGCACCCATTCCTTCGGGAGTATCTTCGGTATGTGGGCTTGGTCCCCTGCCAGTTGACGCCCAACAGCCACTCCTACGTGGCGGGCTTTCTGAACCTCTGTCGGGCCCGAGGGGTGACCCCCAGCCTGGACCTGTTTTTTCAGAGCTTCAACCTCTGCCGAGGGGGTCACGCGAACGCCGAGGGGTTCACCAATCTGCAACAGGTGGCTCGGTGGAAACTATTCACAGAAGCGCCCTCGTCCAATAAAGGCTGGAAGGAGCGGTGGTGCTACGTTAGGATTGCCGAGAGCCCTTTTCCGATGGAACTTAGGGATCGCTTCCGTCGGCATCCGAAGGTCGAAAGTGCTGCTCTGGAGAAGGATGGCTTGATAATAGCCAAGATCCCGGCGGGCCGCACGAAGCAAGTGTCCATTAAGGACTTCACTGCTGACAAGGAGCTTTTTGCCCTCGGCTTCCGCAGATATCACCTCCTCGGCGAAACAGACGAGAAGTATCCTGTGCTGGCAGGAGGTAGTCTCCGAGGGCTTCCCTTTTTTGTACTTAGGATTTTTTCCCCTTTTCCCTTTTTTTTTGCTCTTTTCTCCTTCGGCCTAACCCCTTTGTTTTTGTTGGCAGGTGTTAACATGGATGCTGGCAAACTCTTCGCTTTGAAGAAGAAGGGCAAGACCCAAGCCCAAAAGAAGGACCCTTCGGTCCAACCGCCCGTGGGAGCCTTCTTCCAAAAAGAGGTTCCGGAGCCCTCTGCTGCGAAGGGGGTCGTCGGTGTGGCGGAGGGGGCCACAAAGAAGAAAAAGGGGAGCAAGGCGGTTGAGCCCCCGGCTAAGAAGCAGAGGGGCATAGGGGGCACTGTCGGCCAGGATGCCCCCTTGGTGATCATTGAGGATCGCCCCTCTCCGGATCCCCCGGTTGATGCTGCGGCGACGGCCCAAACCAATCCTCCCTTGAGAATCCCCCCTCGGGAGATCCTGCAGCTCTCTTTGGCCCCGGGGGCTTCTGTTCTACACAGCTCGGCGGAGCCGAAAGCTTTTCTGAGGGGGATGACCTCGGTGATGGACAAGGCTGCCCTCTCCACATATGATGACGAGGCCCTCGAGAACAGGATCCTTCGGTCTTCATTAACTGTAAGTTTGCTCCCTTAGGTTTTGCGTTTAACTTTAAATGCTATTTTCGTGTTAATCTGACCCCTCATCCCGTTGTTTATCAGGCTTGCGTAGCCCTCGGGGAGCACGCACAGAGGCTCGAGCAATGGCGCCTCCGGAAGGTTGAGCAGGACCGGTAGATGAAGGAGCTTGTCCTGAAGAACTCCGAGGCCGTAAAGCAGATGGCAATGCTGGAGGAAGATCTCCGGAAGGCTGCCGAGGGCAAAGCTGCAGCGGAGGAAGCCAGGCTTGAGGCCGAGAGGGCAGCCAAAAAAGCCGTCGAGGAGGCGGAGATTGCTAAGGCCGAGGTCGTCGCCAAAGCCCGGGAAGAAGCTGTTGCTGCCTTCGTGTCCGAGGGCTGGAAGACCGAAGACAGGCGGCAGTGGGTGGCCTCGGTCGTAGAGTCTTCGGTTGATGACTGGGTGAAGAGCCCCGGAGCCGACTGGATGGCAGAAAAGGGAGACAGCTACTATCAAGGGGGCGAGTTCTTCACCCAGCATCTGGTGTACCGGAGGCTCGCCAGGCACTTCAAAGTCCCTCTCGAGGAATTCGACCCTTCGGCGTACGGCCTTCCCGCTTTGCAACCAGATGTTAGAAACCCCCTCCCCTCGGGCGAAGAGAGGCTGGTGATCCATGACTTCATGATGACGGGGGGGTCCGGCGATGGTGATACCGAGGACGCCATCGGGGAGGAGGTCACCTCGAAGCCCGCCGAGGAGGCGGCAGCTTGAAGGAAATACTTGTAGTTGAATAGTTGTTTGAACACTTTTCCTTTTTGTTTGTAATGTTTGTGTACTTTCGGCCTCGGCCATATATTGTAACATATACATTTGAATTCCCTCTTTTGACGAATGAATGATTGCCTTCGGGCTTTGTATATATGACTTGTCCTCTTTAATTCATTTCTTTTCGAATGTATGCCGTCGCTTTCTTTTGAATGTATGCCTTCGCCCTTCTGAATGTATGCTTAGGACTTAGAATATATTCTTCCAAGTGTAGTGCTTCTTCTAGCCCTCGGCTACCAGTAATCCTTAGTCAGTTGAGCCTTTCACCGAGGGCACACGTTCAGGACTTAGAAATATTTCTAAGTATTTGTTCATCTGTTGGCCCTTGGCCGGTTCCTCCCCTCTGGTTCCATGTAGCCTTCGTGAGATAGCCGGAGGTGAGGTGCTTAGGACTTAGCAAATTTTCCCAAGTGTTTCAATACAGTTTTAGCCTTCGGTAGTTGGGCACCCTTCGCTGGATGTATGGCCGAGGGCCCAGCAATAGTTAGGACTTAGAAAATGTTTCTAAGTGTAGTCTCCCCAAGCCTTCAATCGTGTGACCCCTCGGGCTGCAGGGAGATTCGAGACTTAGAAACTTGCCACCGAGGGTAAGAACTCTTGGGACTTAAAAATTTTTCTAAGTGTAGCATGTATGAAGTAGGAGCCCTCAGGCAGCATGGAGATCTAACCGAGGGTCAAAATATGTAGGACTTAGAAAAATTTTCTAAGTATAGCTTCACCAAGTATTCAACTGCGTGGCCCCTCGGGCAGCATGGAGATTTGACCGAGGGCCAGAATTTGTAGGACTTAGAAAATTTTTCTAAATGTAGTATGTGTGAAGTAGGAGCCCTCGGGTGACTGTGAGGGCCTTGTCTCAGATATGCCTTCGGTTGACTGGCGGCTCCACAAGGGGCAAAGCATTTAGGACTTAGATTTTCCTTCAAGTATTTATTGCTGCTGTCCTTCGGGGGGACCCTTCGGTTGTAGGCGTTGTAGGTTTAGGATAGTTTCCTTTGCTTTGCAATGTTGGGCTATGGTAACAAAAGCCTTCGGTTGTTTGTCATACAGTGCCCTTCGGGGACGTTTTTGAGTCTGTTTGAGCCTTCGGTTTTAGGTATAACCGGAGGCAATCCTTGAGTGGACTTAGCCATTCGTTGATGATGTTTGCTGTGAATGGTATCCTTTGTACTTGTGAACTTCCAGGTACCGAAGGTGTTCCCGTGGGGAGCCCTCGGTATGTTTTTTGTGAATTGTTGGAGTGATGTACTCATTGATTTCTCGCCGAGTCTACTCCCCTTCACCACCCCATTTTTTTAGTAGTGAAGGGAAGGCTTCAAGAAACTTGGTTTTATGGTAAGGCTTGGCCTATTGGAAGGTAACAGAATACACCATTAGCTCCCCCCTCGGGTTGACCTTCCGAGTTCCGAGGGGATCGAGGGTCGATTCCTGGGTAGAATACACCATGACCTGCCTCCCCTTGGGGGATGGCGCGGAAAGCGCCTCAGTTTTGAAAGTCGTCCCCTCGGCGCTAGACATAGTCCGTGGCCTGCCACACCCTTGGGGTGGTGGCGCGGGGAGCGTTTCGGTTTGGAAGTTGAATCCTGGGCATTTATCGTGCCTGTCATACCCTTGGGGTGATGACGCGGAAAGCGTTCCGTTTTTGAAAGTCGAATCCTGGGCATTTCTCATGCCTGTCATACCCTTGGGGTGATGACGCGGAAAGCGTTTCAGGGAAGGGTTTTCATTTGCACACTGGTTGCAAATGGCCGGGTGCACTACGTGCTGCCGGCACCGATAGGTGGCGCCTTCGGTATAGGCGTCCTCGAGGGGTACGGCTTAGGAAACAACACTTGGTGTTCGTTCCGACGTACGGCCCCCGGTACTTGGTACCGAGGGGTCTCCTGTAGAAATAATTGGTGCTTTTTTCTTCACTTGTCGCAGGGGACTGTGGTGTCTACCCTCGGTACTTGGTACCGAGGGGTATTCTGTGGGAACACTTGGTGTTTCTTCCTACTTGTTGGAGGAGGTGATTTTGTCGTCTACCCTCGGTACTTGGTACCGAGGGGTCTTCTGTGGAAACACTTGGTGTTTCTCCCCGTTTATTGAAGAGGGTTATGTTATCCACCCTCGGTACTTGGTACCGAAAGGCCTTCTGTGGAAACACTTGGTGTTCCTTCTCATTTGTCGAAAGCTGCTAGTGACGTGCCCCCCGGCACCAGGTGCCGAGGGGTTTCTTTTTTGGGGACAGGTGGTACTTTGTTGTAGGTGATAGTATTGTCTACCCTCGGCACTTGGTGCCGAGGGTTCTTCTATTGTGGTGAGGCCTTAGGCCTGGGTGTGATATGAGGGCTTGGCCCTTGTGACAATCTTGTTCCGTGTTCCCGGTGTCCTCAAAATGCCTTCATTCTTCAGAATTCTTAGGCCTTGGGCCCTAAAATAATACATTCACTGGTTATGAGGGCTTAGCTGCTCTGATGTTATTGATAAAATTTAACTAAGTGATGTACATTCCAGTGCCTAGGGACTTCAGTCCCATTTGGGCGTTTTAGTTTGTAAGTTCTAGGTTTGATGATGGCTGCCACGATGTAGGGGCCTTCGAACTTTCGTGCCATCTTTCCGCCCTCGGTTGGTTGGCTAACTTCCCTTCTTCGGATGACATAGTCCCCCACTTGGAATTCCCTGGAGCGAACCTTGGCGTCAATGTAACTTTTCACCTGCCTTCGGTAGTTCTCTGCGCGTATGAAGGCTTGCTCCCGGCGTTCTGAAATAAGGTGGAGATCGAGGGCCATATTGGTGTCGTTGGCCTCCGGATCATACTGTGTGACCCTTCGGGTTGGGAGAGTTACCTCAGTGGGGGCTTTGGCTTCAAATCCGTAGCACAGGGAGAAGGGTGTCTCGCCAGTTGCCCGTCAATGGGTGGTACGGTAGGCCCATAAGATGTTGTGGAGCTCTTCCACCCAACCACCCCCTTCGGCCTCCAGCTTCTTCTTTAGGCCCTCAAGCAGGGTCCTGTTGGCGTTCTCCACTTGACCGTTGCCCTGGGGGTAAGCAACGGATGAGAAGGTGTGTTTGATGCCCCATGCCTCTAGGAGGGCACAGAAGGGGGCTGCCTCAAACTGAGTCCCATTGTCGGAGATGATTTGCTGAGGGACGCCAAACCTGGTGAGGATGTTCTTGAAAACAAAGTGACGGCACCTGGCCTCAGTGATGCTGGCGAGGGGCTCCGCTTCCACCCATTTGGTGAAGTAATCGATGGCGACAATGATGTACCTGTTGTTGGAGGTACCCCTCGGCAGAGGGCCCACAAGGTCTATGCCCCATCGAGCGAAGGGTATGGATGTGCTGATGGGGGCATAGTTGACCGCTGGCCTGCCGGGGGCTTTCTGGAAGTGTTGGCACGCGGGACACCTCCGGGCAATGTCCGCACAATCCCGGGCCATTGTAGGCCAGAAGTAGCCCTGGATTATCAGCCTTCGGGACATGGAGAAGGGTCCCTGGTGAGCCGAGCAAGTCCCATTGTGCACTTCCTCCATTGCTACTTCGGCTTCATCTTGATGAAGGCACCGAAGTAACGTCCCGTTGTAGGATCTTTTGTAAAGCCTTCCTTCCTCGATAACGTAGCTGGGAGCCCTCAGTTTTGTCAGTTTGGCGCGGGCCTCATCCTCGGGCGGTCGCCCTGTGGTGATGAAGGCAACAATGTCCGAGATCCAGTCCTCTTGTCTTTGTTGTATATCCATGACGGGGCTAGCATGTATGCTAGAGAGGTTGAGTTCTTCTACTTTGGCGATCTTTGAGATATGATCAGGGGATTCTGCCGAGAGCTTTGATAAAATGTCAGCCTCGGAGTTTTGAGCCCTGGGTATTTGAGTAAGAGAGTGTGCCTCAAATACCTTAAGCAACTCCTTGGCCGCCTCCTTGTATTGCTTCATTCTCCCTTCCTTGGCCTCGTACTCCCCGTAGATTTGGCCGACGACCAACTTGGAGTCGCATTTGACGTGGATTTGTCGGGCCTTCATGTTAGCTGCCAGCCGAAGGCCACAGAGGAGAGCCTCGTATTCGGCTTCATTGTTGGAGACTTTGAAGGAGAAACGGACTGCATAATAGGCCCGGAAGCCCTCGGGGGAGATGAGCACTACCCCTCCTCCGCATGCCTTGATGGCGGAGGAGCCGTCGGTGTAGAGGGTCCACCAGTCATCTGAAGGGGCCGAGGGCTCCTCATCCGTGGCTGCCCTTGCCGTACACTCCGTCACGAAGTCCGCTAGGGCTTGGCCCTTGATGGCGAGCCTAGGACGGATGTCGATGTTGTATTGGCTCAAGAAGACAACCCATTTTACCATTCGGGAGGAGCTAGTGGGGCTCCTCATCAAGGCGCCGAGGGGTTGGTGAGTGAGGACCTGGACCGGGTGAGCCTGGAAGTAATGGCCCAACTTCTTGACGGTCCACACGATAGCCAACACCGTCTTTTCCACGGGGGAGTACTGGAGCTCCGCTTCCCTGAGGGTCTTGCTAACATAGAAGATGGCATGTTGGATGCCATCCTCTTCCCGGATGAGTACAGAGCTGATGGCAGCCGGGCTAACACCCAAGTAGAGGTACAGAATTTCCCCTACCTTGGGTTTAGAGAGCACAGGGGTGAAGATAAGTATCGTTTCAGCTCCTCGAATGCCCCCTGACATTCTGAAGTCATTGGAAACCGGCAGTTTTCCTCATGATCTGGAAGAAGGGTAAGGACTTCTCCGCCGATTTTGATAAGAAGCGGTTGAGGGCTGCCAGGCGGCCCGTCAACCGTTGGACCTCCTTCACGTTGCGTGGGGGCTCCATGTTGATGATGGCCTGGATTTTCTCGGGATTGGCCTCAATACCC